GTTTACTTATTGAACTGTACATATTGATGATGTGATGCTGACAAAAGCAGCAGGATGAGTTCTGAAGTGTTTCAGGCAATATGTTCTGCTCATATTCAGCCAAATGCTTCAGACCTCAGTATTATTGATTAGACGGCGCTTCATAGTGCTGATGGAGAATGAGCCAAAGAATACTGCAAAAGCAACCAAAGAGTTTTTGAAGGAAAAAAAGTGGAGTGTTATGCAATGCCTGTTGGAATGAAAATTATCATGTGGATTTGTTTATATAATCTTTTTCACCAAAGAAGGCTCACACAAATTCCAAAGGCAGATACTGATTAGATCAGGACCTGGTGTGTGGACTTTGGGGGCTTTACTGATATGATTATATATGATGTTGATTGGTCAATTTGAATCTCTTGAAGTTTTTAGTCACTCGGCAGAACTACAGTTCGAACCGCTGTGGTTAAAACCCATTCTTACATGGCCAAGTCAATCACCTGATCTGAATCCGATTGAGCATGTATTTCACTTGCTGAAGGCAAAACTGAAGAAAAATAATGCTCCTGTCTGTCTTTAAGGCATTAAAGTAAACACTTCAATTTGCATTTAAAGGTTCAGTTCACGCAAATCGAAAATTCTGTCATCATAATTTACTCACCATCAGAGATATTTTGAAGAATAGCAAAAATTAGCCATTGACTTTTATAGTTTTTTTTAGTATTTTTTTATTTTATAAATACACCAGAATTATTTACTGAATCATTAAATCTATTTTCACTAAAAACATGTATACAAATATTCATTTACAAAAGGGGGTGTACACATTTATGCTAAATACTGTCTGTATATTCACACACACACACACACACATATATGCATATACATATATATATCTCAGAGGTCGCGTTAGACTTTGTCATTGTCCGTCATTTTGACGGAGAGGGTTGTAAAAATTCCGTCATAATCTATTATTGACCGCCAATTAATTTACATATTTTCTAATTGCTTTTTTCATTCATATTTTAATAATGAACTTGCACGACGAGCATATAGGCTAAATTATTAATTTATTTATTTGACAAATGAACAATAACTCATATCAGCCTTAACTCATATCTTCCTCCTGCGTCGACCTGAGCTGGGTGCTTGCCTGTGCGTCATCAAACGCATCAAGAGACACTGATGCAGAGGCAATTGACATTAAATTCTGTGTCTTTGCCTCGGAAAGTCGACTTCTCGTCACAGTTGTAAATTTGTTCTGGAGGCTGAAGCCGTGTTTTGCTGTCACACTGGAGAGTCATTGCCAGAAGCGGCCCGGAATCTACTGACAGACTCGGGCCAGATATGGTTAACAGGAATCGGGCCAGTGCTTTACAGCCGCATCACAAACGCATGTACGGGAGCGAGCTGCGGGCCATACTCGGCCTGGATAACACTTGCCGATGCCGAGTCGGAGCCGGAGGCGCCGAAGGGCAGACGAGCTCAGGCCAATTACTACCTGCTATCTGGGTAGCGTTACTTCAGCCAGCATTTTGCAGTGAAACATTTCTCCTAAGAAAGTGATCAGAAGTTTGCTGGATTTTCTGAATGTGGATTGAATTGAATTGAATTGAATTTTATTTGACAGACTTTAGACAAACTGTACAAAAAGTATTTCATACACTTTGTTAAAAAAACTGTTGAGGATAAAAACACAATAAAGCCCTGGGCTTATTTCCATTGTGGTCCTCTGTTAAAAAACAATGTATGGCTTCAGAAATACTAATGTTCTACACAGCTAATGGCCTTCCAGCCGCAAACCTATTCACACTCAAGTAACATAAATTAAAACATCCTCGTCCACCATGCAAACTAATTATCCCCATCAAACAACCATCTTTTGCGATAGCTCTGCATTCGGTAGAGCATGGTGCTCACAACGCACTCCAAACCACCTGACCTCCTTGTTGCCGCTTGGTTGGCCCGTAACAACAGCTGTCGGCGACGGAGGATCTTTGTCTGTTTGTTCTTCATCGTCCACTGCATCACGTCCTCTTTTTTCACCTTTATTAATAATATCACAACTATTTGGCCGTTTAAAGAAACTTCTCACACTCAGCTGCTGTGAAATTTTTGCAACTGTACACAGCGGTGACAAAGAGGAGACAAAACAAGGGCAGTCGCCATCAGCTGGAGAAGAGAGGGAATTACAGTTACAAATTACAGTAGATCACCCTCAGCATAATCTGTCAAAATGAAGGATCACCTTCAGATTTTTCTATCACTGCTGAAAAAAATCCATCAATGACGGAAAATATTCGTTTAATGCGACCTCTGATATATATAATACAAAAAAAAAAAAAAAAATATATATATATATATATATATATAAATATATAACTTTCTCTGTATAATAGGAAATACTGTGTTAAATAGTTTGTCCTCATGGGAAATAAAAAAAAATATGATTTTTCTCAGTGGCTTTGGTGCATTTCTCACAGCACTATTTACATTTGCACAACAGTTAAAACATTTCTCAAAACAATTAGTCATTTGTGCACATCATAGTAGCAGTTTTTCATTCCTTCCAGCAAATTGCAAATGCTTTTGGACATGCATCAACTGCTTTCATACAACTCTCTGCTATTTGCTCATGTCATGTCTGTCAAAATTAACTAAACTTGTGAATGCTGAATCGTCACTCCATATAAAACTAACAGTCCTCATTTCATTACTTAAATCATTACATACAAAAATGGTGAACTAGTTGTTAAAATCTGTCGAGCATTTTTATGAAAAAAAATTAAATCTTAATGTTCCTGAAAATGTCTTCTAAATTGATTTCATAAATGATTTACAGACCTGTGTGTGTTTTAGGTTCAGTTTCAATATGTACTGCAATATTATTTACAGTTGTGCACAGCTCTACCCAAAGGGAGTTTATGTTTGTCGTAAATAAGGGTGTATTTATACTTTGGCACAATACTGTGAGTACTGTAAATTAGGATTGTAAAGAGCAAATGCAGTTAAAAAAAAGTGAAACATACATATTCAGTGTCTTGTACTCAGATATCCTCAATAAATGCAGTGATGTCTGACTATAGTTTTCAAATGGCTGTGCTAATAGCTGTCTTGAGCATTTTCAGGAAGTGTCACTAAAATCTTCATTGAAAAAATGTCCAGAGTAAACTGTCATAATGAAAAAATGACTAAGCCATTTGACTGTCTTGTTCATAAACAATGCTGTCAAGACTTTTCATTTTGATGACACTGACACTTTCATTAATATGAATACTTGCTTTTAGTACATATAGTACAGATAGTACATATGAACTATCCATTTTGATCAAGTGACGCACTTTTGCAGGTTATCAGCTGGGTTTTGCAGTTTGCACTAATTGTTTTGAGAAATGCATTAACTGTTGTGCAGAAATGCACTGGTGTTGTGAGAAACGCACCGAAGCCACTGAGAAAAACTGTAAGATTTCACAAAAGGGTGAATAACTCCATCTTCAGCTAAATGTTTGTATTCTGCACTGAATAATTCATCCATCACTCGTTTGCTTCAGGTCGAACTGCCGGATTTGGGAAAACTGACCAAACTGCGTATCTGGCATGAGAAGAGGAATCCGTTCGCCGGCTGGCATCTGAGTCGAGTAGGAGCTTCTCCATAAAAGCTGCATTCAGTCTTTAACCCTTTACCTGTCTAAATTATCCTCTTAATTATAGATTTCCATAATGAAAACTCTCACAAAGGAGAAGTTTAAATTCCCATGTGAACGCTGGCTGGACACCAATGAGGACGATAATGAGGTGGTGCGAGAGCTGCCGGCCACAGGAGAGCTGATCGCTGAACCACTGCCTGGTACTCGTATTATAATATATTGTATTGCATTAAATTACATTGTATTAAATTGCATTGAATTGCATTTGTGCAGGGCAAAGAATAATTACGATTAATTGCATGAATTGCATTAACTTTTAATTGCAAATAAAAGTTTGTTTTGAGACAATATATGCCTGCCTTTGCATTTCTCGAATATATGCATGCCTTTGCTTGTAGATTTTTATTTGACAGTGTCCTGTTTTTTACTGAGCACATCATATTCTGAACAGAGCATATCATATACTGAACAGTACCGAAATCATGATCTAAAACCTAACCAAGCTGTGAGAAGTCTGTATTGTTGCTCTCCTTCTAGTGTGAATGGCCCCTAATGTGTGTGTGTTGTTGTCCTGCAGTGGTGAAGTATCGAGTGACCGTCTACACAGGGGATGTGAGCGGCAGCGGGACGGATGCGCATGTGTTTCTGTGTCTGATCGGGGATCTGGGCGACACTGGTGACCGCAGCCTCATCAACTGCAAGAACAACATCAACAAGTTCGAGAGGGGAAATGTTAGTGGCCTTTCTGAACTAATCTGAGCACATTTTCAAATCTAATTCAGTTTTTTTATATATATATATCTAATTCAAACTTTCAAATCAAATTCAAACTTTAAGATCACATTTTCAAATAAAATTAAAGTTTTCAAATCAAATTTAAATTTTTAAATAAATGTTTTATATCAAATGTAAATTTTCAAATCAAATTTAAATTTTCAAACACAATTTTTTATTTTAATTTTTTTAATCAAATTAAAATTTTCAATCAAGTTTTCAAATCAAATTTAAATTTTCAAATTTACATTTTCAAATCAAAATTTAAGTTTTTAAATCAAATTAAAATTTTAAAATTAAATTCAATCTTTCACATCAAATTCAAATTCTAAGTTCAAAATTTTTTTTTTAAATTTTAATTTTCAAATTAAAATTTTTAAATCAACTTAAAATTTTCAAATCAAATTAAAATTTTCAATAAAATTTTCTAGTTCAATTAAAACTCAAATTCAAGTTTTGAGATCAAATTCTCAAATCAAATTTAAATTTTCAAATCAATTCAAATTTCGAAATAAAAATTTCAAATCAAATTAAAGTTTTTAAATCAAATTTAAATTTTCAAATAAAATGTTAATATCAAATCTACATTTTCAAATCAAATTAAAATTTTCTAATTAAAATTTTCAAATTAAATGTATTTTAAATTTTCAAATAAAATGTTCATATCAAATGTAAATTTTCAAATCAAATTAAAATTTTCAAATTCAAAGTTTCAAATCAAATTCAAATAAAATTAACATTTTTGGGGGCTGCACGGAGGCGCAGTGGGTAGCACAATCGCCTCACAGCAAGAAGGTCACTGGTTCGAGCCTCAACTGAGTGGAGTTTGCATGTTATCTCCGTGTTGGTGTAGGTTTTCTCCAGGTGTTCGGGTTTCCCTCACAGTCCAAACACATGCGCTATGATATAGTGTATGAGTGTGAATGAGTATGTATGGATGTTTCCTAGTGATTGCAGCTGGAATGGCATCCGCAGCGTAAAACATATGCTGGATAAGTTGGCGGTTCATTCTGCTGTGGTGACCCCAGAATAATAAAGGAACTATGCCGAAAAGAAAATGAATGAATTTATGAATTTTAATTTTCAAATTAAATTCAAATTTTGAGGTCAAATTTTCAAATGAAATTCAAGTTTTAAAAACAATTTCAAATTTTCTATCCAAATTCAAATCAAATTAAAAATGTCAATCAAATTTTTATATATCATATTTTAATTTAAATAAAATGTAAAAATCAAATTCAATTTTTCAAATTCCAAATTTTAAATGTAATGTTTTATTTCAAATTTTAAATCAAATTCAAATTTTCGAATTCCGAATTTTAAATTCAATGTTTTATTTCAAATTTTCAAATCAAATTCAAATCTTCAAATTCCAAATTTTAAATTCAATGTTTTATTTCAAATTTTCAAATCAAATTCAAATCTTCAAATTCCAAATTTTAAATTCAATGTTTTATTTCAAATTTTCAAATCAAATTCAAATCTTCAAATTCCAAATTTTAAATTCAATGTTTTATTTCAAATTTTCAAATCACATTCAAATTTTCAAATTTTAAATTTTAAATTCAATGTTTTATTTCAAATTTTCAAATCAAATTCAAATATTCTAAATCAAAGTTTTTAAATTCAAATTTTCCAATTGAAATTTGAAATTTCTAATAACATTTTCTGAATAATTTGTTCTATTTAATTTTTTTTATAAATTTTTATTCATTTTTTTTTTTTTAAATTAGTCCCTTATACATTGCAAAAATTTGTTTTTCTAGTCCAAATATCTACAAATTCTTAAATCAAGAAGCATTTTCTAGAGTCTAGACAACCAAAAAAAGTAATCGATTTTTCTTAAAACAAGCTAAAATAATCTGCCAGTGGAGTGAGTAAAATAGTATCATTTCAAACCAAAAACGAGATTATTTTATTCACCCCCCTGGTGGATTATTTAGGGGATTTAGATGATTTAACTTCAGTAAAGTCTTCACTGCAGTTTAATTAATTATATTTAATTAATGCAAATAAATATGTTTAAACTGGTGAGATTTTATTCAACTAAATATAGAGTAGATCTAATCAAATCAAATCCTCTGAACTTTAGTGGAATTAAACTAAATCTCATTTAGTCAAAAGACAAAGACTGAAACCCCATCAAAATGAGCACTGTTAATCTGAGCGGTGTGTGTTCTCTGTGTTGTGTCTGTATGCGTGTCTCTGTTTGCCTCTGTGTGTGTATGTGTGTCTGTGTATGTGTGTATGTGTCTCTCAATATTTGAGTTTGTTTGTCTCTGTGTGTGTGTGTCTCCGTCAGGCTGATGAGTTCATCATCGAGGCGGTCTCCATCGGGGTGGTGCGCAGGGTTCGTATCGGTCATGACGGTCGGGGCGGAGGCTGTGGATGGTATCTGGATAAAGTGACTATCCGTGAAGAAGGACAGGCTGAATCCCAGGCTGTGGAGTTCCCCTGCAGCAGGTTACACACTCAGTCAACATCAACACACACATCAAGAGTTAATCCAGCTGTTCTCCACTGATGTTTGCCCGTGTTTCCTGCACAGATGGTTCGACCGCAATGAAGACGATGGACAGATAGTTCGAGAGCTGCAGCCGTTTGCAGATGGACAGAGACTGTACAGTGAGTTTCAGACAGCATCAGACTGCATCAGTGTAATGAGTTATTATCACTAGCGAAGGACTGAACGACTTTAGATTTCGATGTCGACTAGACTATTTTCTGTCTTTTAGTAGAGATATTATATGAGAGACTTGCTTTGTTTACCAAATAAAGTGGATCTAATTGGATTTGCATTTTAAACAATAAATAAAGTTTAAAAGGTTTTATTTTTAAGTTCATATATTAAGGTTTTAATTATGATACTCCCAAAATAATTCTGCAGAAATCCACAGATTTTTACCAAAAATTCTGTGCAGAAATGGCAAAAAACGACCGCAGATTCCGTCTGGCAAGAATAGAGGGCCTGTGACAGAACCCTGATGCATTCCTGATATCAAAGATGTATTGACTTGAGTGCAAAACTCGCTCTAGAAGTCCCAGAAGTCATTGTGATTAAATAAAGGAGGTGGAGAGCAAAGCATTTTCATTCATTCATTCACCTATTAATTTTCCCTTGGATTAGTCCCTTTATTTATTAGGGGTCGCCACAGTGGAATGAACCACCAACTTTTTCAGCATATGTTTTACACAGCGGATGCCCTTCCAGCTGCAACCCAGTACTGGGAAACACACACATACACACACACACACACACACACACACACACACACACACATTCATACACTATGGTCAATGTAGTTCATCAATTTCCCTATAGCGCTTGTGTTTGGACTCTGAGGGAAACCGGAGCACCCGGAGGAAACCCACAGCAACACAGGGAGAACATGCAAACTCCACACAAAAACGCCAACTAACCGGGACTCGAACCTGCGACCTTTTTGCTGTGAGGCCACAATGCTAACCACTCAGCCACCGTGCAGAATCATACGTCCCCCTCACTTTTAGAGACAGACCAATTAGAAACAGGTGATTAAGAATGCACACTTTTGGATTTCATTCAGCTGTCCGCCCACTTTTAAAATGTCCCCTACGCCCCCGGTCGACTCATTTACTGTATGCATTAATGTAAATATGAATATCTGTGTGTTTTCAGACGTCAGCTATCACATCGCGGTGAAAACAGGCAACGTCACCGGAGGAAGTTCAGACTCTAAAGTTTTCGTGAAGTTGTACGGAGAGAAAGGAGACACCAGCAAAATGATGCTCGCCGTCTCCGACAATAATCTGCGCAATTACTTTGAAGTGGGACGAGTGGACATCTTCACCCTCGACACTTTAGACATCGGACAGGTAGGGAACAAATTATAATTACTCATATTTAATATGATTATCTGTGGGCTGTATGAATAAAACATCAACTGTCCTGGCGTCTCATTTAGAAAGCTTCCTAAAAGTGAACCTATACACATTGTAAGATACTGTAAAGATTACAGTTACACCGGCGACAAAAATACTGTGAAAATAACGTGCCTTGTAAATTAATAGGTAAAATTGTGCTGTAAAACTACAGCACAGTTATAGTTGTTAATAATTTAAAGTGCACTTGTTAATGTTGCCGTAATACTGTAAAAATTGCCAGTAATGCTGTAAAATTTACAAACGCACTATAAAATAACAATTACAACTGTTAACTATAACCTAAGGTTTATTGATAAACTTTGATGTTGGCTTGAGAAAGCCAACGTGACTGCGCTAGGACTGGGAATGGCAGTTGGCAGGAAGCACGGCGGCGGTTGCTAAGTGGTTGCTAGGCAGTTGCTAAAACAATTATGGCATTGTTAGGTGGTTGCTAAGCAGTTGCTAAATGGCAATGCTCGTGTACATGTTTAATCGAATGCTAATACTTAGTAGGCATTTCTAGCATATGTTATTGCATTTAGATAATCATTCATAGCATGTAGCTAATCGTTATTAGCACTTGGCTTCCATTATCATTGTTACCAAGCATAGTACACAGGAAGTCCCATTTGCTAGCATGAGTCAAACAAGCCAATGCCCAGGTCCCTACGATGTTCTGATGTAGAGATATTGCTATTTTTAAATGGTTGCTAGGTTATACTGTTTTATTGCTATGGGGACATTTGACAGGTTAGTGATAATACATCAAAGCTTCTTGGCAACTTGAGTGATCTTAACCAACCCCGATGTTTCTATGACAGTCTTTATGAGTGTCAAAAACTGGACTTGAACATTATGTATTCCTGGTGTTGGGTTGCGGCTGGAAGGGCATTCGCTGTGTAAAACAAATGCTGGATAAGTTGGCGGTTCATTCCGTTATGGCGACCCCTGATTAATAAAGGGACTAAGGGAATGAACATTATGTAAAAATGGCTTGCCGTATTTTTTTGAAAATACAATGCTTAATAAGTGTGAAGGTAATACATGCAAAAATGGCTTGCCATGTCAGTAAAAATATGGATTTTAAGTCAAAAATAACTTGCCATATTATAAGAAAAATAATGCTTAAAAATTATTAATTGGAAAACTATAAGTCTGATAAACCTTAAAGATAAAGCAACAAAATTACACATCTAAATACAGCTTTTGGCCAAATTTGGGGCTTGTATAATTTTTTTAAATGCCCGGATTATAAAAATTTTATATTTAACATTTTTTATTAAAAAAACAATAAGTCTTATAGGCATGAGGAGATATAGCAACAATCTTGAATGTAAAAAGGACATTTTGACCACATTTGGGCCTTGTGGCATGAACGGCCAGATACGTTTGTTTTCAAGGACAGAGTAGCATAACAGTATGTTGGCTTTCTCAAGCCAACATAATTATTAATGTACAATGCACTTGTAAATTTTACAGCATTACTGGCAACTAAAGTGCAGATCTCAGCTGGTTTCTTATATATAGTGTTTACAGATGCTTTTATTTTTTATGTAGACTCTTATTTAAATGTAATTATTATTAATTTAGCTATGAAATAATGGTTATGATTGAATGCATTTGATTTGTTTTATGTGAAAATAACAATAATTAATGATCATGCTTGAATGTTTCATCTGCAGATCAACCGTCTCCTGATCGGACACTCGAATGAAGGCATGCGCGCCGGCTGGTTTCTAGACAGCGTTCAGATTGTGGTTCCTAATCACGGAAAGCACTACATGTTCCCTAGTCACCGCTGGCTGTGTGAGGATGAGGCTGATGGGAAGACGGAGGTGGAGATTTACCCCAGCGAAACACTGGACTTTGAGCTATGTAAACACTCCTACTGTATTAGATTTTTTTTAATTAATTTATTTTTACAATTTTAATCATGAGTTTATATAAAACAAATATGAAATTAGCTTCATTTATTTAATAAAAATAAGTCTGACTGACTGATAAATTAATTGATTTAATAAAAAGAATATATATATATATATATATATATATATATATATATATATATATATATATATATATATATATATATATATATATATATATGTCTGTCTGTCTGTCTGTCTCTCTATATATATATATATATATATATATTTTTTTTTTTTTTATATATATGTGTGTATATATATATATATAAAAATAAAAAAAAAAATATGTGTGTGTGTGTGTGTGTGTGTGTGTGTG